TCGAGCGTGAAACCACTCTTTGACTTTTGAAATGCGTGAATCCAGCTGGCTATTTCAAATATCATCACTCAAAATTCAAAATGCCCAAACTTGAAACCCTAGACTCAAAAAATGCAACATCAAATCTCTAAATTTTCTTCGTGTTCTGTCAAATCGAAGCATGCATGGAGTCGTTCTTAGAGTTCATCATCAGGATTTGATGTCCAGAGGTCAAACTCAATGACCTCTGGACATTGGGGTTTACTCACTGGTCCGAAGCTTCAACAGTCGATGCTCATGTAAACTCGACCCAATTTTTCCCCTTTGTCTCTCAGATTTTTCACTCTATTTTTTCTATCATCATCAATCTTTCATCACTTTTCACTCATGATTTTGAATCCGTTGAAACCCTAGAGCCTTAATGGCACTATAAATAGGGCCTTTATTGTTCTCACCTAACATCATCTACGCAATCACCTAACACTGAAAAGAATACATCGAGAACACTTAACAAAGGCAAAAATTTGTATAATAGTTATTGAATTTTTTTGACTAAGCTCTTACTCGAATTCTGATTTTGATCTGAGGTATTCATTTGGTTGAATTCTCTGAGTTCCTGGGTCCTAATAGCTAAACGAGTTCTATTTGGTATGCTGCCCTAAGAAAGGCCAGTGCACTTTCACCCTCTTTTCTTCTTATTATTTTACTTGATTGTCATGTACATGCTATTATTTTTCTACTAACGGTATTAGCTTATAATGTTTGTCACTAGCCTATAAAGTGTTATCATAGTTCACGTTAAAGTGTTGATCATCTGTAGTCATTCCTCATATTTTCAGAATCTTTTTAGTTGGTATTGACGTGTTACATGACTTTAATGATTTGCATCTCTGAGCCTAAACAATCTATATGATTAAGTTACCTTTATGATCCTTAATAGCTTTCAGATAGCTAATATGATTAAACTTCCTTAATGTGCTCTAGTGACTCTCATGCTTGTTTAAACTTCAGGGATTCTGTCAATAGTTCTATTATGATCTTCATCTCTATACATTGTTTTCCTGCATCTTGTTGTCTTATGGTAGAAATCACTGTCTGATAATCCTCACTAGGACAAAACCTAAGAGTTCATAGTTTACACCCTTCACCATTTAACTGAAGTCTGAGAAATGCAAGTGTTTTAAATGCTCTCTTCCTATATACCTGTGCCTATTAATTCTGAGAACAACTCACTGAATCTTCTTTATTATGATAATCTTATATCTGATTGATTGGTTGCACATATATGAGATAGTTTTACTCACTTGAACTCTTGGGAATACCAATAATCCTTCTGTACATTCACTGTTAAGGTTAAGTTACCCTTTTCATAAAAATAGGTCATGGGTTTTGTTTGTTATAGTTGAATAGTACCTCATGTTAATCTGAATATAGTTGTCTCATGTTTAGATATTAAATCTCAGTCTGTATATCTGAGTTGATCTTATTTTGGCATAACACTTTCTTTGTCTTTAACCTCCTCATGGCATTGCTGGCTTTGTAAAGCTTACTCTGCCTTTGTAAAAATCATTAAAGTATCTGTGCATAGTTGATGTTATATTTTCCCTGTTTTGGCTTCATGATTCTATGCCTTTGTTTTAAAATAACACTCAGTACTCTTCTTACTGTCAACCTAAATTGAATCAAATCTTTAAATCTTATGAGAAGTTCTTTGTTGATACTACCTCAACATAATAGTTTATTTAAGGGTAATACTTTTATGAATGTGATCTTGTTGAGCACCTTAGGAATTCCATGTTCAAATTTGTGAACATGTAGTCATATTAAGAGTGTTGATCATGTTTTTGATATCTCTAGTAACTTTTGTAAAAGTGGTTAGTTGTAACTTTTTTGTCTGAACCTTTATTGATGCCCTTTTAAAAGGTTCAAAGTAGTGATATTAACCCATACATGTGCTAGGGGCAAAGATCTAAGCTAATCAATCTATAATTAGTCTATCAGGGTAAAAATATCTACACTTTCTAGTTTACTGCACACCTGAATTATGTGTTCTTTACCTTTCCTTTGAATGTATTTCCCCAGTATTAGACATTTAACAGTATATCATGATATTTCTGCTTCTCTCTTATATGTGCTCGAAGACTGATCTTCAGATTACTTGATGTGTGTATTCTCAATTTGGTATTAGAAATGTAGTCATAAAGATTGTTTGTGTCTCCTTATGTTATTCTGTTGGGAGGAAAGTATACTCTTGTGGCAGGGGGTATTATGGTAGTTAGTTTACATTGAAAGGGTATCATTGGTAATTAAACCTATAGGGAAAAATAAGTCGTTAGTGATTAGGGGTATCTCGGAGCGGAGTTTAACTCTAGGATGGGCTGCTCTCCCCAGCACAAGCATTGCCCTAGGACTTGAGTCCCTTGGGAACTTTGAAGCATCGGGGGGATTTAAAGGGGGCATAGACCTTAAGTATAACTCTCTCCTTATCCCTTAATTAATTGACAAATTTGGTTCTCTAGGGGTTTAGTGTTTAATGACAACGAAAGGTTTTCAATGTAAATTATTTTTCATGTATAACTACCACATCAGTATAAGTATTCTCATAGCGTTATAGTATTGATAGTTTGTTACATTTTTGCTTCTATCATCTGTTTATATTTTTGGTGCCTGACTGAACATATAGAATATGTATCTAATGACTTTGTTTTGGACATATACCTTTGTTTGGGTCTACTGAGTTCCTAAGGAACTCAGGCCCAAGCCAAGTACTGCTGCATTATTGGGAGTCCGGAGTCAGTTGTTGTCGTCCTGTTACTGCTGGACCTGCCTCTTTGAAGACCAATTACCAGAGTCCAGTCCTCTTTCCCTCAATTCCTTTATTATTATTTTCTACTGCTTCGCTAGTTTAGCCCACTGTCTTGTTGCATTTGTTATATCTTTGTTATTTTTCTATCTCACATGTATATAATACTCATATATTGGATTACCTTCTTTATACTTTAATGTCATCTACAACTTAGGCAAGCCCTAAATAATATAGGATTTAAAAGGAATTAGTTAGTAATTAATCCCTATTTCGCTAATTACATTTATTTATATCATATTATGTTTTCACTCACCTACTTTTCTTAACAAGATTTTGAAGCCCATAACTTAGCAAAAAATAGCGGCCCTCGTTTTCAAAATGAAATCAGACCTGCATCGCAAGCTTTATCTTCACAGAGGCAAAAATTGGATTTTTCATAAAAAGTGAAGTACTATCGCCCTAAAGGATTTTCAACAAAATGATCTTTCTTCAAGTCCTCAAATCAAGGTATATCTTAGGCTTATCCCATCTCATTGGAGTAATATACACTTCCATGCTAAGGCTAGGCATTGGACAGGTCTTAGTGTGCAAGATCGACTTGTGATCTTTGCAAAGTGTGAAACAAGAAAGGGTGAGGGTTTCTAAGTATTTCGAAAAAGGGGCTAAGGCTAGGCATTGGGCATATCTTAATAGCTATGAATGACTTGTGTTCATAGCAAAGTGAGAAACAAGAAAGAAACGTTAGGGTTTCTAAGTGTTTCGAAAAGGGGGCTAAGGCTGGGCATTGGGCAGGTCTTAGTGTGCAAGATCGACTTGTGATCTTGCAAAGTGGGCTGTGAACGACTTGTGTTCATAGCAAAGAGAGGTCCTTTGTATATTTTTATATTAATACAAAGGTTGGAATTTTCCCGTATCTGATGGTGTTCTCTCTATATTTGCTGCCGAATCTTGTGTGAGGCCAAACTTGTTGAAAAGTTGGCTAAGTGTTGGGAAAGGCTGAGTAGCTTGTGTCAGGCTGCTGCCGTGCAGTGCCAATTTGCGAAAAATTGGCCCTGTGACACCTAGTCCCACTTCCACCGATGGTAGGATTGATGCGCGACCAACTAAAACTTCTTAGTCTCACATAAAGACCAGGAATGGCGGAACTATTAAGAAGGAATCAACTCAGGATTGGGTTAACAAGTCCTTTGGCAAGGTTTACAATAAAAACCTTGTTACAACTAACAATTCTTGCCAAAAAATAGCGTCACAAATCTTAGCTACTGGGAATTAAGCATCTTCCCCCACGGTGATAATGTCATGGCCCAACTGCCACCAGAGCCGCGACAGCGCCTAACACTACTTGCCAGGCGAGCCAACAATCACATAATAGTTTAACATTTGAATAAACATGGTTTAATATACTCAACATTGGAAATATCATAAGTATCTGCTACAACACCATTTTAGGCCTTTCGCCACCTCCAAAAAGTGTAGCATGAACTATCAAAAGTGTGGCATTTGATCAAAGGCCACACTTTTCAGTATTAGGCAACGCTTTTCCGGGGTGGCCTAAATGAGCGTAATGTTTTCCCAAAGGCCACACTTTTCAAGTGTTATTTTAGATGCTACGCTTCAAAAGTGTAGCCTAACAGGTACATAGGCCACATTTTGTATTACCTTATATGGCAACATTTTCTATGACTAGAACTACAGTTTTAAAGTGTGGCCTCTATTACCTTATAAGTCACACTTTTGAAGCGTGGCTGCTAGAGCAACACCTGTGAAGCGTAGCTTATCTGCCACTTTACAATCAATAGGCCACACACTTGACAATCCATATGGCACACTTTTGAAGCGTGCTCTAAGTTATAAACATTTCTTAAAATAATTGTACAAGCCTTAATTTTGTGGTTGATGCTATAATCAAATTTATTTCAAGAATATACATTATTATTCCATTTTAATGATCTAAAGAGCAAAAGTCACTCGTAAATAACATATTAGTTAAACTTACAACAGACTTCGAAAAAGACATATCTTATATAATATGCGTACTAATAGCACAATGTTTCAAGATGTGCATTAGTAATGAACTCTACAAAAAAAGAATGTATTCATATAGTATCATGAAGGCATGAATAATAAACATCACAATTGTTAAAAAAGTCTTCATCATTCACTTCATAATTGTGGTCACTATTTCAGTTGCATCACCCACATTTTCCTACACAATCAAAATAAAATTAATAATTAAAAAGAATATAAGTATACAATATCATTTTGGAATCTGTAATATGGTTAATATTTAGTGTACTACGCTGAATCAACAATATGGCTCCCATCTGGAAAGAGCTTAGTAATGAGCTTAGTAATGAGATTAATCCTGATTAGAAAAGAGCTTTTATGCAATATGGTATAAAGTTGCTTGTTAATTCAAAGTTACAACTTACATACAAGTTTGTAAAATAATACTGTATTGAATATGAAGAACTCATTTAAACAAATTTCTGAAAATAGGTATGAATACTGTAACTAAGTCAAGTAACAACTCAAGCCCATAAAGAAGTATAAAAATGAAAAGGCCAAACCCATATGCACCCCTAAAGTTGGCTTCACTTTTTATTTTGACACTTTTATTTAGACCTTTTTCATTTTGAAATTCCAACTCATTCTCTCATGTGCCACTTAAGCACAAAATGTTCATCGGTCAAAAATATGAAGAGAGTGTAGTTCACAAACGGCTCATGTGGCAAAGTAACCAATGGAAAAATGACATGTGATTTTTTTTGCCAAATAATTATAAAATGGATTTTGAGCAAAAAAAGAAAAGAAAAAGAACTATTTTCAATCAGCCCCTCCGTCATCTTCTCCGTCCACCCCACCCTCTAGTTCCATCATCATCTTCCCACAATCACCGGAGCTCTCACCACTAAAATCTTCATTGGCTTTAATAGCATTAAAATCTAAGTATAGTATTAAAATGAGTTTAACTCTATAACCAAAAGAATAACTCACTATAATGTTCTAATTAACTTGCACCCACATGATTTTGCTCGCATAAGAGTTAACCAAAAATCAGTTTAACTCTTGATGATGTAAGGAGAATTCTTCTGGCGAAGGATGGAGATTTTACGGAGTATTTGACGGCAATTCTCTGGATCTCAGTCGCCGTTGACGGCTTAGAAAGAATAGATTGCAGAAGTGCACTGGTGGTGTTGGCGACGGAATTGGTACTGGAGGAAGCAGAAAGATAAAAAATTAAAAAGCAAAAAATTTCAAAATTTACCTTAAGGCCGCATACAATAAGATCTCAAAATTTTGTACTGAATTATGTTTTAGTATAACCTAAAGCATGATCGTTCGGAATATCTGAGGCATCAAAATTGGGAAGGATACCAGACTTGACATGGTGAAACATTGTAAGCTTTTGGCAAAACTATACAACGATGACTGCACAGAAAATTTGTCTGAATTAAAATGAGATTTTGATATGCATACACTCTCAAATGTTTGTCTCTATTTCCTGGTACTTGCCTCCTTCGCAAGGGTTTGTAGAAGGCCTTCTGAAGAATAATAAGAAGAAAACAAGGACACACCAAACAACCATAACTTTTTCTTCTGTGGAAAAAGTGGTGTTGGTGGTGTTGGCGGCGGAATTGGTAGTGGAGATGGAAGGAGGAAGCAGAAAGATAAAAACTTAAAAAGCAAAAAAATTTCAGCTTTCCACGCGCTCAAAAGAGGTGCAAATCACACAATGTGACAAGTCAGCGTTTTGTGATTAAGTGGCACATGAGAGGATGAGTTTGAGTGTCAAAATGAAAAAGGTCGAAGTAAAAGTGTCAAAATGAAAAGTGAAGTCACATTTAGGGGGCCGCTTGTGGGTTTGGCCAAAATGAAAATAGTAAGAAAAGTTCACAACTGATATACAAGTTCTTAAAACAATGTTAAATATGATAACACATTTCCGAAAAATAGGTATGATAACGGTAACTGACTCAATTGGAGCAGCTACTAGCTTTGATATAAAAATACTAACACAAGCAGAACTTTGGGAAAAAAGGCCAGACGACGATAAGTCAAGAACCACTATGCAAATCTCATGACATATGTCAACAAAGACTTAACACATGCAAGGGAAGTGTACCTGGAATTATAGTGCCCACAGGCGTGAAATAACTAGAATTGTTCTGCATTCATATCACATACATTTTACATTCTAGAACAAAGTAAAAGTGAAACACTAATAAAGCAGTGAAGCATTCAACTTTCTTTCCAATCCAAAAGAAAAGTACATAAAATAACCCGCTAAGGATGTAAATGTCAGAATGAGAGTATCTTTGCATAGTCTATTTGAGTTGGATAAAGTCTTCCACACTTGTTGAGTTCAAAAATATTTGCATAGAGTTTGTGAGTTGGATAATAAGTTTCAGAATGAAACACTAACCTCTCTTTTTTTTATAATCATGGTGTTCAGGCCAGCTTACACGCACCTCGACTAATTCCACTAAATACCTACCACCTCCCACCAGCAATAAGTATAAGATAACTCTATCTACCAAGGCTTGTATTGATGGGAAGAAATCATCTGCCTCCACCGAAATTGAAACCTCATGGTTTTCACCCATGTCATTGACCACTCTATCACACCCCGGGTGCTTGAAACACTAACCTATCTTCCTTGTTCAGATAGTGTTAAAATTCTCTGGCGCCTAATCACAAGAAAAAGACTTCTTCAAGAAAAGGAAAAAGTTAAAACAAAACGGGAAGGTAGCACATTGGATGATCAAGCATCCGAGCAAATGAAATGAGGGTCGGTAAGAAAAGAATAGGAACGATTATATTCCTACATGTTCTATTAGTCACATTCCCTTGAGATCTTACTGCGGATTTTGCTTGTGTTTAATCTTTTCCAATTAAGACTCATATAGGAATTTCTGAAAATTTTGCATACTGAGCTTTTTGTATAGGTGCCCCCTGGATAATAATGTATGAACAAAGGAGGGGAAAAGGCAAAACTTAAGATCCTAGTCCTCTTAGAAAGGGGAATAGATCATTTTCCCAATTATTCAGATTTTCACGAGTTTGAGACAACCCTCTATTCAAGTACTCTTTCTTCTACTCGAGCCTCGGCAAAGCCTAAACATATCGGTCAAATGAAGAATATATACTTGTGAAGTTAACACTAATCAACCATTGTGCAAATATCCATAGTTTCAAAGCCAAATAGTAATACAACTCTATGCTACCTTAACATGTTTGCTCCCTAGATACTCAAAGAATAACTTCAAAACAATCAAAATTTACCTTTTCATAAATCAGACCATAAGTTGACCAGAGAAATGTTGAAGATTGTGGCTTCTCATAGCCCGTGCCCTACTTGCATCAACCGGAGAAGGTAGGATAGATTCGACACACCTTGCTATATCCTAAATGTTCAGTCCAAGGTTGGTTGCACCAATACATTAACAAGATGTTGCAATTGTTCCAGTTCCTGCACTTCTTCCTTCATATCTTGCATTTCTTCCTTTACAGAAAATAACTGAATCTAAGCAAGAGTTCGTCTCATAACAACAAGTGTAGAAAATATGAATTTTCAGAAAAAAGTTTATGATCATTTGGGCAATAATAACATTAATTAAGCAAAGAGCTAATGAAAGAAAAAGTTTATGATCATTTGGGCACTAATAACATTAATTAAGCAAAGAGCTAATGAATGAAAATAATCCTAACGAAGAAATCAAATAATAAACTGAACAAGACTAAAGAAAGGAAAAACATTAGCTGCTAGAAACTTAAAACGACAGATATATCGCATTCATATGCAATCTCAAGATATAACAGGTATAAGGTAAATTAAGAAGCAACACTTAGAGAACAATAAGTACCTATATGTTTGCCCTGTGGGAAGAGGCGCCTCCACATATGTGAATAATCAATATATATATATNAAGAACAATCAACATTGGTATCTATCATTACTCACTACAGTTGATACTGTATTCATATAAGAACAAAAAAGATAATCCGTAACTAATATATATAGTTCATACATTAGAAGAGAACACGACAAGTATATTCATAAATGAATAATATTTTCACTAAATGAATAATATTTCACTTGAATGAAAGATAATCCTTCAGCAATAATCCTTTTGTGCAACTATTCGCCATTCAGAGAAAATCTTATTTAGCAACAACACCAAAAAACTCTACCAAAAAAGAAAGAGACTGAATTAAACTTCTATCTGTTTTGACTCCACTAAAATTGAAGGTGCAAGAATTAGATTTGGATTCAGACTTAGGCAATAAAAGGATTTTCTAATAATATAATTGTAAAAAGGAGATATTTCAACTAAAATAATTTCCTTGAAGAACGTTGAAATTAGTCAAATCCACGGCTAGCAAGAATTGGATTCACTTGTTGTGCGACTGAGCTTCATATTAATTTCTCTACATAGAGTAATGTTATAGCTTTGGAAGTATACTTAAAAATATATTTTTTGGCCAAATATTAGATTAAAATAGTATGCGAGAATCAATATCAAAAGAACAAAACATGAATAAGGTCTAAACTTGGTGAATTTAAAAACCACGTTATGTAGCATACCAGATGATGGCCTAGCAAGAGCTCATTGTGACAAGAAAAGAAAAACTACCAAGAACTAAGCTAATAATCCTTTATACGAATCCCTTAGTTTAATCACGAAGGCTGTGAAAATAGCTAGCTGGGTCACGCTCAAGTCATCCCTGTAAATGTAATCACTTGTTGGAGATTTCATCATTTTGAGTTGCTCCTTTCATTTGAGCCACAATAAATGAAGTAAAAATGATTTAAGTAGAATAACTGTCAGAGTTAGGGTTATTCGACAGTGATGGTTTTCAATTTTGCCCTTAGAGATATGATAATCTGATGTACTACTCAAATGCTTATTAACTAAAACACAAAAAAGGGATGAAATTTAGTAGAGTAGTAAAGAGATACAAGCACATACAAAGACCCATTTCAGTATAGTAGAGAGACCTACTTTGACAGATTTCTCCGCGACAACCATTCTTTCCATCAGCTCCTTCGGCGGCTCAATCTTTCCATACCGTAGAAATCTGCCGCTGTGTGTAAGAGTTTGGGGAGCTATAAATTTCCCGAGGTTTCCACGAAACTAAAGCAAGGAATTGAAGAAATTGAAACACTAATGAAAAATGAAAGGGAGATGAAAATATCAAAAAACTTGTCAATAGGGCTAGCCTATTGCCTAATTGATGGAGATTCTTTTTTCTTTTTTTAACCTAATTGATGGACATTTAGCGGAGGATGAATGGAGAAAGGCAATTTGAAATTGATTTCCCGGGTACACTTTTCATAACGGGGGAAGTTTTGGTGAAAATTTTAAAATTTTATTGGAAAACTTAAGAGTACACTTGCAAAGTGTAGTTTTAGAATTTAGCATTAAAAAAACGGAAAAGGTCCAAAATTGTCCTCGGGCTATTCGATTTGGTACTCCGTCCATCTATTGAGCCAAAAATACCCCCACTGTTATCTTTCTGGTTCACTTATGCCCCTACGACTAATGGTCAATGCCAAATAAAATAAGATTTACTTAAATTACACCACACAACTTTTTATTGGTCCAAATTAAAACCATGACCCCAATTAAATAAATCCACCCTTAACCTATTTTTTTACCCAACCCAGAAATCCAACCCGCCTTAAAAAATGACCAAACTCTTGATTGTCAAAAAAATCAACTTCTCCATCTTTCCAAGTCTAACACCATCATAGCTGTCACCATCCCCTTTTCTCTATAGCAACCACACTACCACCACAATTTTAGTACAAGGGCAGTTTTGGTCCTTTTTCATATTTTTATCATCTTCTTCATTTTGCATTTACCATTGGAGTTGTCATTTTTCGAAAACATTTGTCAAAAGACCCTAATATTCACATTCAAATGTCACTTACAATAATAAATCTTTTTTCTTTCTCATCACATAAGATAATCAAAGAACCCATTATGAATTCATGGGCTTTAAATTCCGGAATCCAATTTTTTCTTCATAATTTTTGTAAATTTTGCAAACTCTTATTCAGTTGTTAGACCCAAATGGTAATAATTTGTAAAAAAAAAAAAAAAAAAAAAAAAAAAAAAAAAANAATTTTGCAAACTCTTATTCAGTTGTTAGACCCAAATGGTAATAATTTGTAAAAAAAAAAAAAAAAAAAAAAAAAAAAAAAAAAAAAAACTTTTATGTCCTAGGTACTCCTCCTTGAACAAAATCCTAATTTAACAACAAAGAAAGGATATCAAATCGAAAAAAATTAAAAAAATTCTAATCGGACCCTTTCGATTAGAGGAATGGAGTAAATATGAGAATAATGTTTGTGGTGGAAGCGTGGTTGTTATGGAGGAAAGGGGGTGGTAGCAACTATGGTGATGATAGAGTTGAAAAGATGGAGAAATTAGTTTTTTTAACAATTAAGAGTTTGGCTATTTTTTTAGGTAGGTCGGATTTTGGGGTTGGGTAAAACAAAAGGGGTTAAGAGCGGGTTTATTAATCGGGGTCATAGTTTAAAATTGGACCAATAAATATTTGCGTGTAATTTTAATAAACTATTTTTATTTAGCATTGACCGTTAGTCGTAGGGGCATAAGTGAGCCAGAAAGTTAACGGTGGGGACATTTTTGGCTCAATAGGTGGACGGAGGGTATATTTGTACCAAATCAAATAGTTTGAGAGTAGTTTTGACCCTTTTCCCTTAAAAAAATGGAAACGCTTCAAAAGCGTTGTAGTATGAGTGAATAAGTGTTGCCAAAAGTTTTATGATTTGGCAACGCTTAAATTGCGTAGTCTTTATATTTAAGAGGCACACTTTTTAAGCGTTTCCTAAATTTTATGGCCAAAAGCTTTCCACAAACGACCACCCTATGAAAAGTGTGCCCATACCTAATGAACCCCTTATCAAGAAGATCCTGAAGCTGCTCTTTCAATTCATTCAACTTTGTTGGTGCCATACGATATGGAAGAATAGAAATGGGTTAAGTGCCCGACACCAAGTCAATACCAAAATTAATGTCCCTATGGAGCGGATGCCCGACAGGTCTGCAGGAAATACATCCGGAAAGTCTCGCACTAGCGAAACAAAATCAATGGTAGGAGTATCAGTACCAACATCCCTCACAAAATCCAAATATGACAAACACCCCTTCCCAACCATCCGTTGGGCCTTCAGATATGAAATCACCCTACTGGGAACATAGTCCAGAAAACTCTCCACTCTATCTTAGGTAACCCCCGGCATCGCCAACGTCACGGTCTTAGCGTGACAACCTAGAATAGCATGACATGGGGACAACCAATAAATGCCCAAAATCACGTCAAATTAACCATACTAAGCAATAAGAGATCAACTCTACTTTCCAATCCTCCAATGGTCACCACACACGACCGATACACATGGTCCACAACAATAGTATCGACCACCGGCGTAGATACATGAACAAGCAAAACTAAGAACTCACGGGACATATCCAAATAACGAGTAAAATAGGATGACATATATGAATAAGTGGAACCAAGACTGCATCTAGAGCAACAGTCTCTGCCCTGGCAGGGATAGCATAGTATCGAGCCTAACCGCTACCTGATCGGCCTCCTCCTCTAGGGTGACCTCTAGCTGCTTGAGCCCCACCCCCAACTGGTTGAGCAGGTGGTGAAGTAACTGGTATGAAAGCCATAACCTGACCCATCTGCTGAATTGGACCTCTCAAAAGACGGGGGAAATACCTCATCACATCTCCAAACTACCCACACTTGTAGCAACTACGGTCCGTCAATGGTGGTGGAGACTGAATCGGACCTCGAGAACCAGAATAGCCACTAGAAGGACTTGGTACAGATGAACCCTAAACTGATGGAGCACGAGATGAACTATGAGCTGGGAGGGAACTGATAGATAGCTGACCCGAAGGAGCACTATATGGACCATGGCTAGCTGATGCTCCACTATGAACCGGACGAGCCATCTGAGCGGGCATATAAGAACGACCCCTGTTATGGTGGGAATGCCCTCCAGAAGAAAAACCGCTGAAACTACCTAAACCATGAGGCCTATTGACCTCCCTCTTCTCACGCTCTTGACTACGGACCTGGTCTAGCCACCTAGCAATACCAACCACCTCATCGAACCTGGCACCTGATGAAATCCCCCGAGTCATGAAAAAGCACAGCCCATAGTTGAGGCCATCTATGAACCTCGTAATCCTCTCCATCTTTGTGGGAACCAACCAGATCGTGTGATGATCCAACTTTGAAAATATCATCTCATATTGGGTCATGGACATACCCTCCTGGCGTAGCTGATCAAACTGCCTATGCGACTCCTCCCTACGGGTTTGTGGTACAAACTTCTTCAAGAAGATAACGGAGAACTCATGCCACTTAAGTGGTGCAGCGCCAGCTGGCCTGCTCAACTCATAAGCCTCCCACCATCTGAAGGCTATCCCTGACAGCTGTAAAGTAGTAAATGAGACTCCACTAGTCTCTAGAATACCCGTCGTGCAAAGAATCTACTAGTACCTGTCTAAGAAGTCCTGAGCATCCTCTGACTCAACCCCACTAAATAATGGAGGCCTCAGCCTCCCAAACTGCTCTAGCCTCTTCTGCTCTCGTCACTCATAGGTGTACCCGCTGCAACCGGCAGGGATGGTAGTACCCCCGGTGTCTAAAGTCCATGAACTACCTGCTCTGGAGTATGGGCGGCGGGAGTCTGGGCACCTCCCCTGGTCTGAGAAGTGGCTAGTGCGACCGGAACTGAAACCGCCTGAGCAAGGCTAGTGCATATAGTTAATATATGGGGCAGAGCCTCCTGAAGGCCTAGAATCATAATGGGCACAACTGGTGCCTGAGCTGGTCTCACCGGCTCAACCACATCCTGAATCTGCTCCTGAGCTGGAGCAACTAGTGGCTCCACAAATGTTGCTCTAGCCATTGTACGAGCTACACCTCGGCCTCTACCGCGGCCCCGACCTCTCATGGCCCTAGCTGGTGGTACTGGTGGCCGTCTGCCCGATCCAGTAGCACATGTACTCACCATCTGTGAGAGAATAGAATAATAGAAGTTTAGTTTTCGAAATCAACAAATCCGCACGACAAGAATACAAGAAAGTAAAGTTTTCCTAATGGTTCGGTAACCTCTCGAAGATAAGTACAGACATCTTCGTACCAATCTGCAATACTCTACTAAACCTGCTCATGACTTGTGAGACCTATGTAGCCTAGGATCTGATACCAACTTGTCACGACCCAAAACCCAACATGTCGTGATGTCGCCTACCACAGAACTAGGAAAGTGGACAATCATAAATAACTACGCATTCTGATTTGAAAACATGATAAAATAAGTTTAACAGTCACAAATTATCATAAATAACCAATAAGAATATACCGCGACTCAATACAAAATCACCAAAATCCAGGTTTCACTAAGTACATGAGCTACTAAAATGTCAACACAGTCAAACCGCTAATAAAACCATCTAGAAAGATAGAACAATGCTAAATAAACTGTAAAGAATGAGAGTTGAGGGCTGCGGACGCCAAAGCAGCTACCTCAAAAGTCTCCAAGCAGATGAAGCTCCAAAGCTAGCAACCGTCATGCCCAGATGCACCTACATCTGCACACGAAATTCAGAGTGTAATATGAGTACAATCGACCCAATGTACTCAATAAGTAACATGACTAACCTTGGGCTGAAAGCAGTAACGAGTTCAAAAATGTACAGTCCAAATCCAGATAATGATAATGCAGATATGACAGGAAAATGACAGTAATAGCATAGAGAAAATCTCATAATCAGTTTGTAGACATGATTTCATGTTTTTAACATTTTGAGCTTAACACGGATAAAATATGCCAAGTATGACTAATATGAGGTATGTTACATCTCGATATCTACATGTCAACTTTAATGCAACACAGTGACAAAGACATACACTCATACTCTCGGAGTATTCAACCTCACCCAACACGCTCAATCACTCAGTACTCCCAATTACTTAGCACTCTCAATCACTCAGCATTCTAACTTACTCGGCACTCGCACTCATCGGTACTTGTGCTCACTGCTGGTATTTCATACTCTGGAGGGGCGGATCCTGCCCAAATGCTAATATAAGCCAATCATGGCATGCTGCGACGTTCATCCCAATCCCATCATGAATCAATAAAGTCTGCTGAGGCGTGCAACCCAATCCCATAAATATCACTCACAATAAGGCCCACGGCCTTACTTAGTCAACAATCTCTTTAGTCTCTCGGGCTCACAAA